TCACCGCGAGCCTCAACAGAAGCGGAAACGGGCGTCTCCTGCTCGGTAACAAGGGGGTCCACATCTGGCACCTCCGACCTTAGAGGCACCGAAACCTCAGCAATCGGGGCCTCTGCCTCGCCAGCTATCCCTACCTGCAAAAAGTGACAGCGCCTCAATAAACAAAAGCAAAACTAGCACAGAAGAAATGTCCAAGGAGACAAGGCACTTACCTCGGTAGAAGGAGCAACTTGCTCAACAGTCGCCGCAACAGCCATTTGGGGAGCCTCCCCAAGCGGAGGGCTCCCAGTGAGATCGATTGCATCAACATCTGCAGCCTTGGAGGTCACCTCCTCCATTCCGCGAGGGGCAGAGGTCCCCCCGACCTCTTTCTCGCCCCTCTTTCTTTTTCGGTTGACCTTCAGGGGGGACATCTCCTCTTCCGGAGGCTCGGGAACCTCAAGCTCGGCAAGGTTGTAGCGGTGCTTCAACTCCTTCCACTTATTCTTTCCCATTATGCCTGCAAGTACAAAAAAATGAAACACATCAAAAAAATGAGTTTTCACAAACCCTGATAATCTAAAAGAGGACTAAATACTCACTCTCCAGGCCCCTCTCCCTGTATGCTGAGTTCGCAAGCGACAGAATGAGCTTGCAATCCAGCGGACGAGGAAGCGCGCGAGGTTCTCGACGGCGGCCGCCTTCGAAGCCGTCAGTTACAATTGGCCCCCCCGTTTTATTACAATAAAAGAGCAAGAAATTTTGCTTACAATGGTGTTTTGTTCAGGGTGGAGAACTTGATACTCTTGATGGAATGACTCCATTAGATGCAGTGGTTCGAATTTTAAATAATCAACTAACTTCTCTGATGTGGATTGATGAAAAGGTTTGTATTTTTCATTTTGCTATTTATTTCGTATATTAGAAATTTCTAGCTATCTTGTGCTTGTTTCATTGAAATTGAATCAAGATTAACTTGCTTCAAGGTCTAGTTTTTTTATTTCTATCAAGGTGTATTTTAACTACTTTAATATTTCTAATTATGCAATTAGCCAATTAAAGATGCTTTTGCCTTGTCTGAACCTGTTCCCTCATGCAAGTAGAAATATGGAACCATCAATTATCAAGGCACCTTGAAGTTGTTTTAGAATGCGGATCATACATTTCTTTCAGTAACTACAGTTTCCTAGTCTCCTGGATTCCTGGAATTTTGATGGAAATGGTGACGTTTCTCAGTGCGAGAGATTTTTCCCATGAAATGGGAGGGGTGAGGATACTAATTATTATTCAGGGATATGAATTGTAGGATTTCTTCATTATTTACTTCCTTAATTATTAAAGACCGGGTTTGCCTTTTTATTGGGAATAGTCGTCCAGAGGAAATTAGTTCCTGAAGTGTTGGATATAGGTTTAATATTTTAAGGTCAGCATAGTGCATACTTTATTCAATTTATTATGTGCATTCTTGTGCAAATTCTGACTTTTGATGAATTCATTTTAGGCTGAAGAATTTTCTTCCCGCATTCAGAAGCTAGCTAACCCAGGTTCTGCATCTGCTTCAGATCGTGAGATGACGGGTCCAGGATTCTGGATGTTCTGATATTTCAAATTGTACAGTAGTATATCAATCTCTTAAAAAGTGATGCTGCACCGAGTAGATTTTCTTTTGTATGAAAAGGCTATTTTGTATTTTTTTTTTTTTACCTAAGATTCGGGATGAAGCGTTTCAGAATGGTTACTGTCGAGTTTTCTATTGATTTTCTCAATATTGCTTCGGATAGGGACCCCCTTGAAAAAATAACTGCAGGGGGTGAAATTTCATCTTTCACCGTACGCTTTTCTATAATTACATTTTTATTAATATTTTTTTGAAGTGAAAATATTAATGGTTGAGAATTTAGATTCATGCTGTTCTAAAAAAGTTGCAGATCTTAAATCCACAATGACTTTTATACTTTTCAATTCAAGTTAAAAACCTGTCATTTTGAAATATTGAGAATCCTTAACAGTAAAGAAGTAAATACTAATTTTAAATTAAAAAAGACTTTCCACTATGAAAATGAGATTTGTAATTAAGTCCTTTAAGTTATCGCTATGAAATTAGAATTATGGAACTAAAATAACACTTGGTATTGAAGTATTTGTCCCCATATTTACGTTTTAGAACAAGAGTTACACTGATAATCAATTATATTTTTTAATTGTGTCATGTTACTGTAAATATATTTTCTTTTAATAATAACATGATATAACTAAAAGATATAATTAGTTATCAGTATAAAATTTTTTTACACTGATAATGTATAGGTGATTAACTCTTACAACAATACCTATATTTAAACTTAAATTTGACTAATTACTTATGATTATTTTCATATTCAATGGGAAGTTTTATACTTTTATGGTTTTGATTTAATAAAATGAAAATGTCACGAACTAGTAAAGTAATATTGTACCTATATTATATTTTCAATATGATAACATTTTCAATGCATAACAGAGTTTAATTGAAAAAGTATTTTAACATTCCTAAGAATGTATTTTTTTGGATTCATATTTATTGTTAAGATGAATAAAAATAAGAAACTTAGAAATCCCTTCATGTTCGAATGAGGGAGAAAATAGACAAAATTAAACAAATTGTATAATTTTTTTTTATTAACAAAGGGATGTTTCAGTATTTGTTCTGCAAAAATTTTGTATTTTTGTCTTATTTCACTATTTTTTTTATTTATTTCTTTCTCTTTATGATATTTAAACAAAGGGATATCGAATTCAGAGTTATCATCACCAGTTGGAAAGTGAATTGTTGTGTATTATTGAAGTAAACTTTAAAAACGAAGAGCATGTGTATATCACCTAGGCCGTTAAAACAAATATAATGTGATTTGTGAAAGATTAACTTTTAACATGACTCTGGAAAGTTCTATTCGTATAAAACAAACGCAACCAAATTAATTTTGTTTCAACTCCACTACTACGAGTGTATTTGGTTTCAAAGCCTAAAAACATCCGTTTACACATTACAAGATAGCAAACAGAGAAAAAGACACCAACGAAGCAATTAGGAGAGAACTTTTACAAATTAATTTATGTATTGTCAATAAAGAAGTTTATTTCATATTTTTTTCAAGTGTTTCTGAAAAAAATTATTAAAAAATGTCCATAATTATAAATCTACAGTGAAGAAGTTTGGCCATATCCACACTCCAACTAAAACCTTTGAGATCGAGCCACAATTACAATCAAGAGGATTACTATGGAGAGAAGGAAAGATGACCTAACTTTTTCATCCAACTCTGTTGCATCATCTGTTGTAGTATTTTCCATCCTAGAGCATTGAAATAAATCATTCACAAGTGACTGGAAACTTTCTATCAGTTCCAATATCTTTCCCTTTATGATATCCAATGTCCAGCTCAATACATGTATGCCGATTTCATTTAGTTCTGGAATCTGTGGCCTTCTACTTTCAACTAGATGAAATAATACAATAAGAGACAAGTCAGAAGAAGTTTGTTTTTTATTAATCAGTTGGAAAACTAATAGACAATAAAGATCAGATCTAAATTCATATGCATCTATTCCAATACCTTACAACCACAAGGCTGACCCTTGTGGTTGAATCAAATTTAATACAATATAGAAGTGTGAATAAACCAGGTTGTTTAACATTATTTTATTTGGTTGGTTTTGGAAAAGGGATCTAGCTATTGTTGTAGGTTTTATTCCTTCTTTCATAACACTAGATCAAAACAGTACCTTAATCACACACTATCAGTTATGTCTCTTATCTCATTTCTTCTCTCTCTTTTGTCTTGGGAAGTGGTGTTGGGAGAAGGATGCTCTGTGATCTCGAACATCACTCAAGAAATTCAGGGAAACCCACATTTTTTGATTAAATTAGATGTGGTGACAAGATTGTATTACATGGTTCCTAACTAATCTTTATATGATATATAATCAATTGTTAATAATTTTTCTTGTAAATTGAAAAAAAATTAAATGCATATTATATATTGATTGACTGAGATTATGAAAATTCGGTAATTTTAATCTATCTAATAATTTCTCAGGGGTCTGAAATGCATTAAGCAGTACTAACTACTGCAACTTATTCATTTACTCTGTACTTTTATGTTTGACATAATACTCATATAGATGACCATTAATACAAACCTGAATCAGGCAACTCTAGGAGCTTTTGATGCAGCACTTTGCTCATGACAGCATCCCAAAGAGCTTTATCAGATGACAATGAAACCACTAACCTCTACAAGCAAGTTATAGTCACAAAGACATATTCAAATTATAGAGAAAATTAAAAAATAGCAACAACAAAAGTCGTACAAAATTAAATTAAATAATAAAAGCTGGAATGACCACCTAAAAAGTGCCAGAATCCAAATTGGGCACAACAGATTTAATAACAAGAAATCCCTCCAATCCATAACATGACAGAAATTCCAACAAATAGAAGAAATTCCAAAGCAAGAAGGTGTCATCCAAAATAACAAATATAACATATCAAAAGAAAAGAGAGCTTTTATAATTTCAGTTTTTCAACTAAATCAGGAATTGTTAAATGAAAAAAAAAAAAAAAAAAACTTGACAATAAGTCGAGAGGGAACCTTAATAGCAGGATCATCTTGCAGCAACTGAAAAGCATCATATAGTCTTTTATATCCATGAGAATTCACTATCCTCTGACCATAAGAGCCTGATATTTGCTGAACTGTGCTTGATGATGATGCTGCTCGCATAAATCTGACAAGCGACAATTTTAAAAAAGAATGTCCAGGTTGTTATTGCTTGCATAAAACTCTTATACACAACACATGGTAAAAATAAGCCATTAAACTTTTGCCATCTTGCTGAGAGTAGTCAGAGTCTGCTTGGATAAGTCTTTTGAGAGCTTATTTTTACTGAAAATAAAGAGTATTTTTCAATAAAAGAAGCTCTTAAATGTCTTTCTTGACTTGTATCCAAATATTCTCTTAATTTGTTAGTTGCTATTAATTTGATAGAAATAATTGTTAGCTGTCGTAAGCTCTATATAAAGATCACTAATATAGGGCTTGTTTGAATAAGTTTTTCCATAAATATTTTTAGAAGATTAAAATAGGGAAAG